GAATATATTAATAAAATATTAATAATTAAATAAATATGAAACTTGTTAAATCTAAATGGCCTTGAGCAAGCCTGAAAAACCGAGTTGGATGCTCCCAATCTGAAAGGATGAGTACCAACAGTGTCTTTTTTTTTAAATACAAGTATTAACTAGTTGTAACTTGATATTAAAAATATACTTTAGAACAAAATGACAATAAAAACCTAATTCTTCAAAACGTGGGCAAAAATGCAACATTAAAACTGACTCCTTTAAGTTTCCTCATTTCGTTGCCACAAACAAGTTTGGACAATGTTATTTAGTGCATTTTGTTAATTTTATCTGATAAATGTATAAACTTTGAACTTTCTGCCCTTCGCTTTGATAAAATATCAATAATGAATAAATAAAATGAATGTTAGAAAACTGCTGTCATCCAACCTATCTGTATTCCAGTCAGCTTGCTTCTCTTATAATCACGTTACATCATAAATGTTGCATCGTGCTTTAAAATGGTAACCTACCCTTCAATGACACACAAAGCTAAACTGTATTTTCATGCTGGCACTTCCTTTTTATTAAGGTCAGATCTATTTTTCTGCTGGTCGATATTTCATTTTGGTACAAAATTCTTGTTTCTTTCAAATCCTCTGCTGACTTTTTCCCTCTCCCACAGCCTTGATCACAGGTAAAGGATCAAGTTGAGAGGGTTTATTGTTTTTCAATAGCTGCCCCCTGGCACAGCGCTGAAGCTCTTGGTCTTAAATGACCATAGAAGGTATTGATCTTCATAAGGCAGTGTTTTTGCTGTTAAATAACCACCACAGGATGCCCGCTAAAAGGCGATGACCTTTCTCTACATCTCTCATTCCACCTAAACAAGGCTGTTTGGAGGCATGCCAGCTTTACCGGGAGAGAACAACTACTGTACATTCCTCTTAACATTTAATAAAAGCAGATCATTGAGTATTATCAACAATAGACTGGGCTAATGAGAAATGCTTATTTCCAACTATATTTTTTTGTTTGTTTTTCTGCTCCTGGTGCTTTCCACTTGTTTCTTGGACAAATTACTCTGTCAAAGGCTTCTTTTTACCCTTCTTTTGTTTGGTCTGTTGGGAAATTTTTTTCTCGTTAGCCACGAGCTATGTGTTCACAGGTCTTCATAGCCTCTGTGAATAAAGATCCCTCCTCAGCAGATACAACAGCAGCCGCCCCGCTGTTCTGAGACGAAACCGTGAGAGCCATGGACAAAAAAAAAAAAAAAAAAGAGAAAGATAAATAAGTGAAGATTCATGCCCTTGAATTACAACAGGGAAATCATTCCCTCTTACAGAGTCGATCCTTGTCTCCCGCTCTGCGTACCATCAAGCTCTAACAGACCTCCAGACCTGTTCAAGCACACGCAGGGAATATAACGAGCTGCAGCGCACATCATTGGTAAACTGTAGGCTCGAGTACAATTTATTGTCCCTGTGGCAGAACTCAGACAGCCACCATTCTCCCTATTACCCCTTAACTCTCCCTTTTAAATCTCCCTTTTTTTTTTCCTCTGTTTGTGGTTTCGGGCTACGCTGTGGCCTTTCAAGCTCCGTGTTAGTGCTGAAGGTGTGTGGGTGTGCATAGGCGGAAAAGCAGAATACTTTTAGAAGCTGATTTTCCTTTTAAAAAAAACACATTCCTAAAGGGTTACATTTTTCTCCACCTCCCACTCTTCCTTATCCTTGCCGTCTCTCTTAGCACCATAACCCTTATTACCCTTCTAATTGGATCATGTAATGTTCTTTTGAGTCAGCGGCGCAGGCCTAGTGACCCACAATCCTGAAGTCTTTTCCTCTGTCGTCGAATTGTTATCTTTTCTCGCTGAAGAGTAAGTGACTGATAACATATCATAGTCCCACAGGAAATGAAATGGACTCAGGAGATATATATCTAAGCAGTCATCCATATAGCTTCCTGTGAAGAAGATAAAAAAAATCTATTTTTTCTTTTCCTTTGGGGAAGAGAAATTTGAAACTCACTTGAAGACAAAAGCAGCTATTGGTCTTTTCAAATAAGATGCTGCGTATCTGTATTCCTGCCCTCAACAGAGTGGCAGTTTGGGTTGAAAGCACCGCTTCATCTAAGAGATAGGTGACTAATGTGGTTGATAGCACCATTCTCACCTTTGGAGTATTTTGAGTAGAAAGTGTCAGATGACTGCTGATTACTGAACCATGTTACAGTTGATCTGAATCTCATCAGCACTTAACCCTCATTGTTTCGTGCACTGGAGGTGAGAGGAATGTCAATTGGAGCGAGTCTTGTGTTTTCTGGCCTCGTTTCAGCTCTCTCCTCACTCTCACTGTTCCTTCCCTTTGCTATCCAATCACATTTGCGCACTCATAAACACACCCACACATACGAATGCATTCGGCATGTGCACACAGACGCATAAGCAAACACATTCAGAGCTCTCTATCCCTGTCACAAACAAACACAAACACATCTAGAGCGCCTCTCTTTCTCCCCACAAATGCGCTCGCACAAACACTCGGGCTCTCTGGGTGTCTACGGTAGAAAGCAAACATGGGCCCATGAAAAATGCATGCCCCTTTGCCTGTTTTATAAGAAACACTCATCGGGATTCCAATCCCATCCCGGCTGAAATACCACACAGGAATATCAATTACACAGGCAATTTGGGTGGGAGTGTGGGCAGGAATGGTGCATGGCAGCTACAGTGGTCTCAGTGAGAAGGTCACCATTTCCTCTAGGTCTGGAACTGGCATTGCTGGATTATGAAATACACAATGGCATTACTGTGATAGAAACTGTGTTGATTTGATGGGATTAAAAGCCAACAAATCAAGGAAAAAAATTACTTTCCAAGGTCAATAGCCAAATTGAAAGCATCACAAACAAGGCAATTATTCAGAACTAAATACTTTGCCACACTTATGAAATTCACATTTTTAAGTTTTTTTTTTTAAACTACAGTGAATTTTATCCCTGCCAGGTTCTTTGTAGAAACTGCCAGTCCTGACGCGTTTACATTTCAGACGTAGTTCAATCTGCTCGTTGACGTTTCGCTTTCATTAGTGCCAAACTAATCAATTGGGATCCAAATTTAATCAGACTTCTACACTTTTAGGCAGCTGTGGGAGAAAGTATGCAACATCAACCATAGGAAACGGAAGCAATCTGAATAAAACAGCCATTTGTCTGTTAACAATTGTAAAAGCTTATGACCCTTTTTATGGGAATGATTTTAAAGTTTTAACTTGTTTTTGCATTTTTGTTTTAATCCTGGGCAGTACGGTGGCACAAATGGTAGAGCTGCTGCCTCTCAGCGAGCAGGTCCTTGGTTCAAACCCCGGTCCAGGGGCCTTTCTGGGTGGAGTTTGCATGTTCTCTCCGTGCGTGCGTGGGTTTTCTCCGGGTACTCCGGTTTCCTCCCACAGACCAAAAACATGCATGTTAGGCTGATTGGTAACTCTAAATTGTCCCTAGGTGTGAATGAGAGAGTGAATGGTTGTTTGTCTCGTTTGTCTCTATGTGTCCCTGTGATGGACTGGAGACCTGTCCAGGGTGTACCCCGCCCCTCGCACAGTGATTGCTGGACATGGGTACCAGCGACCCCCGTGACCCAAAATGGAATAAGCGGGTAAAGAAAATGGATGGATGGATGTTTTATTCCTTACTTTGGCATAATTTGGTCATTTAAACATTATGAAATAAGGAACATAAAGGCATTTAATGTCGGGAATACATGTTTATATTTTCAGTGTTTGATTAATATTTTCATCAAAATATTAATGAATATTAATATTCATTAATATTAATGATTCATTAATATTAATCATTAATATTAATTAATGATCCAGTCAGGATTTTCAGTCCTGACTGAAAATTGTTGGAATGTATACCTGGATTATTGAGCATGGACTTTTTTGATTTTCATCATGGTTCGCTCATGCTCTCTGCTGTTTGTTTCTGTTAACATTGCCAATGCTCATCATTTTACAAAACTCACATTTAATTACTTTATATTGGTGTAACTTTTCAGTCATTCAGAACATGACAATCTTACGATGCTGACTAGAATGCAGCTGTAATTTTTCTGTATGTTTAAGATGCTTTTTTTTCTTCCACTTTAATTTTTAACAACATTTTCAATAGTAGATAACAGTTCAAATATATATCACATACATTTTCCAGATTATGATACCCTAGGCATGCCTTATTACAGTAATAATAAAAAAAAAGTGGAGTAAACATCCATCCATCCATTATCTTTCACCCGCTTCTTCCATTTTGGGTCACAGGGGTCGCCGGTGCCCATGTCCAGCAATCATTGTGCGAGGGGCGAGGTACACCTTGGACAGGTCGCAAGTCCATCACAGGGACACATGGAGACAAATGAGACAAACAACCATTCACTCTCTAGGAGTAAACATCCAATATATATATATATATATATATATATAATAAAAATGGAAATAAAAATTAATTTCTGTAGCAAGTGTCTAGGGTCTAAAAATTCCTCTGATAATGGTATTGAGTTTCCTCATGTCTCTTCTTAGGTGTCGTACTGTGTCCATTTTCCCCATTTACTCATAAAAATGTCTTAATTTGGTCTAAGTACGAAATTTATTTGTTCCATTTCATAAAGTACCTTAACAATATTCAACCACTGTTGTATGGAGCAGATATCTGGTACCAGTTTCTGTTTATAGCTGTTTTGCAGATGTTGACGATGTTTCACTTTGGATATGAGGTGACACCTATAAAAAGAGACTTGAGGCTGAACATCCTCAAGAAACAAAATAAGAAGTACAGTTGTCCTTAATTTAACAATAGCTGTATTTCTGTATGCTTTAAAGTCATGGTCCACTTTTTAAACAATGCATTTCAACAAAGTAAGGCCAAATATTGTTTTTAAATGTTGCAATGAAAACATGATGGAGAAAAGGTTATTGTTGCAGTATGCCTGCAGCAGTCACTTACATTTGTGTTGTTGTGTTTTCTTTTAGGAGAATCCTTACATGTGCAACAATGAATGTGATGCTGCCACAGAGGAGTTGGCTCATCCTCCGGGGTTAATGTTTGACTTTGAAGGGAGAAACCCTACGACTTTTTGGCAGTCATCATCATGGAAGAAATATCCAAAGCCTCTGCAGGTCAACATCACATTATCATGGAACAAGACAGTTGAACTCACCGATGACATTGTTATTACTTTTGAATCGGGACGACCGGAGCAGATGGTCCTGGAAAAGTCCCTCGACTATGGCCGAACCTGGACACCTTACCAATTCTATGCCACTGACTGCCTTGATGCTTTTACTATGGAACCCAAGACAGTGAATGATCTCACCCAACTCACTCTGCTGGACATCATTTGCACCGAGGACTATTCCCGAGGCTATGTGTGGAAAAATGACAAAACAGTACGTTTTGAAATAAAGGACCGCTTCGCTCTCTTTGCTGGACCTCGACTACACAACATGGCCTCGCTATACGGCCAGCTGGATACCACTAAGAATCTGAGGGATTTCTTCACGATCACTGATCTGAGGATTAGGCTACTGAAGCCGGCAACTGGAGCCACCATGGTGGATGAGAATAATCTATCCAGATACTTCTACGCCATCTCGGACATTAAAGTACACGGCAGGTAAGAGCCATTCAAGTTTGCTTTGTTTTCCTTGAAAAGCCAAAAATTTGTGTCCAAATTTAAGCTTAGCGCCACAGTTGTAGTTTTGATGATTATTTCTTTCTTTGGGTATTTAGATATTTAGAAAGAGTGTATTTCTCTAGTTTGTGATCTGTTTTCTCTTGGATTTGTTGCATCATTTTCATCCAATGAGTTTCAGTTTTATGTTTGATTAATGTTCTTTTTTGTTACATTTCATAAAAATTGTTGGAGAAAAATGTTCTTGCTTCATCACACCTACTCAAAAGGAGCCACACTCGATGGCGGGAGAAGATTTTTAACCAGTTTTAACTTGCAAGTACATATATTTCAGGATTGTTTGCTCAGATATACAGGACGTACACACATGAGGCCCAGTAACAAAAAATTGCCATTGGCCGTGTGCGAAGCTTGTTTTATTCGCTTATCAGTTCAGCCAAGCTCACAGACTCAGAGGCGACCTAGGAGCGCCAGCTGCACACTGTAGCGTCCCAGCTCCTCATCCAGCTCTCGCTGCTAACTCAAACATGTGGTTCATGGGCAGAGTTGACATTCTCAGCCATAGTAGTTAAAAGCATCCATAAACTTTGACCACCAATTCCCTAACAAAGATCATGTGCCTTTATTTGTGTGTTTTCTCGTTTTAACTGTTACCTAGGTTCTGCTGCTAAGTGCCACTCACCAGTTCTGCCACTCTCATTAAATCCTTAGTATATACTGTAGATGTGCATGTTTGGCATTGGTTTGCTCCACAATAATTTTCTTTCTGTTTTTTTTTTTTTTTTTTAACTTGTACCAACTTTAGTATTTTCAAAATCAAGTCATGGGATTTTCCTGAATTACATCCCCTCCTACTTCAGTTTGTTCTATTTTGAGTGTTATATGCGTTTTGTCCCACGCTCCACACCATGAATGCTTTGGACATTGAAGACATTACGTTTTATTGCTTGGCTCAGTGAAGCAGTAAAGACAACATATGTTTAACTACTATAAGCATTTTCTATCATTTTTAACAGTTTTATTAGTGATAAATGAGCAGATAATGCAACACAAATCTAATCTTGTCAGTTTTTTTTTTTAATGAAAATTGGTCAACATATGTTTTGCCTACAATTTAATTGTATTAAACCCAAAAGAGGAGACTTGAATTTTATTGAATATGTTTTATGTCATCCCTTTTGGGCAAAGGCTTAAGTAGCAAAAATAGCACAATCAACTTTCATTTCATTTATTCATTCAATTAAAAGAAACAAAACAAAGTCATTAAAAAGAAACACTGAATGAAAAGGGTGCAGAAAGAAGAAGAAAAGTCATCACATATACCCCTTATTTAAAAAATATATATAAAATAACTACAAACAAACAACAATTTAGGCTTGAACATCTCCAAAGTGAAAACAAAAATATTAGTCACCCTTCACATGGCAGCATACTTTCCCAACAATTTTAACTTAAAATCATCTTTTTAAACATAGTTTACTAGTTCTAAATGGAGGTTTTACAAACATTTCCATTCCCTTAAGGTTATAATGACTCTCTTTTTAAACTAATTTTTATTGAATATTTGGGAGTAAAAAAAATTATGAGCTTTATATATGACTTGCAAAATAATATATTTGTTGAGTGACCATAGCACTTCCTACTAATAATTATTATAGCTCTTTTTTTGTAAAATGAAAATAGGGTTTGTTATTGTTTTGCATGCTTTCCCCCAAACTTCAATACAATAGATTAAATATGGAACAATCATTACATTATATATTATATACAAAGCTTTGTCATTCAAAAACTATTATACTTTATACAGTAACGCAATTGATTTAGATATTTTTATTCTTAAGTTATTTACATGAGTTTTCCACATCAGCTTCTCATCAATAACAACACCCAAAAATTGTATTTCATTACCTCTATGAATTTCAATACTGTCAATTTTAAATGGGACTTAGCTAATTATTTCTATTACTAAATATCATGTAGATTGTTGACAACTATATATATATATATATATAAATATTGCAAGCTGGGCAGAGAAAACATTTAAACAATAGTTGTGTTTGGCATAGTAGTAAGAAGAAAATGTACAAGTAAAATTCTCATATTGGTAACACTTTACAGCAAGGTACAAAAAAATTGATCAACTACTAGGGAACGCCTCAGGAATGAATCAGTTACAAATCAGGAGCTAATGGGCAGTTAGCCAGTACTTACTGGGGAACACACAGCCAAGCCATATTAGGGGACAAATGGTTTGTTACCACAGAAACAGAGGATAAATTATCCATGTGGGTTCTGAATAAACCCTGCACCAGTGAACTCACAGCTCATAATTGTCAAAAACCTGTTTCCTAGTGATTATTGATTTTATTGGATTCTTACCACTAATCAGTGGTAAGAACAGATTTCATGATCCTGTACTGCTGTCATCTTTACTATGTCTGAGCTGTGACCTCACTGGTGCAGGGTTTATTCAGAAC